CTCCCTCTCTCTCTCTGTCTCTCTCGTCCGCCACTTCGCTTTTAGTTTCCTCGTTCCCGGTCGCTGTGTGTTCCGTTCTCGCAAGGAAGAAGGCTGCTTTAAAGGGCAAATTCCCGCATTGTTATTATTTGAGTAGGGCGAGGAACGGCGGGGAATCGATAAATTCACGTTCGACATCTTCTCCGCGTCGGAGTCGCGGCATTAGCCGGAGATTAACATTACCGCTATTTACACGCGGATGGCGCGAATGCGGAAAATAAACGCGGAGGTGAGCGCGACGGAGGCGATAGAAAATTGGCATGAAACTCGGCAGAGGGAAATGTCACGAGGTATATATCGGTATAATTAAAAAGGTCTCGGTATAAATGTTACGCGCTAATAGAAAATATACAGCAACGAGGAGGCAACATATTTTTGCAATACTTGGTTTGCCGGAAGGAGAAAAACTCTTGGAAGCTCTAATTGCTCCATCGCGATTCATCTGCCGATTGATTACTTGCGGATTATTAACGCCTTTTCAATGATTGGCCGTAAAACAGTACTCTGCACTCTCAAATCCTTCGCGTTCGTCGGAGAAGGAGAAAAAATGTGTTTCTTGAGGAAAATTGCGGCTGGTTTGAGGCAGTATACATAAATACGGTGAACGGCGCTATATCTTGCCGCGACAAGAAGATAACGACGCTTAATTGCATAAAGCAATATACGAGGATAATAAAAGTGCCCGCGGCACTTGGCGGCGGACACTTTCCCCCATGCCACTTGCCACTCAACGCGATTTTCCCGTCGCTTAATGCCTCCCGTTAGAGAGCAGTTAGGCCATGGCGGATCCTTATAAGCTTAAAATTTTCGCGATTATTTAAGGGCGGGTCCTTATAAGCTTAAAATTTTCCGCGATTATGACAATCGGCGTATATTTCGTCACGGGTGCTGTCGCGCGCGAAAACGTCGCGGCGTCGAATTCAGTGATTTCCATCGACCTCAATCCCTTTGCAAGAATGTTCACGTTTGGGAAAGGTAACACGAAGCTGTGTATACGTAGTAAACATAAAAATCAAACATGTTTCGTCGGTACAGAGTCCACAGTTGGTTGCGTTAATGCAGCGAACGGTCTCGATCAAATCTCTCTGTGAGACGCATTCGAAGGAATTCATCTCGCGACTTGCATCGATCAATGATGCGCACTCGATCGCTTTGTTTCGCGACAGACAGCGGCAAGAATCGGAGGACTCGCGAACCTCGGCAAACGCGGGTGCGGCATTAGCGCGCCGGATTTGTCGACGCGGTGCGTTATCGAACGCAAATGTTTACGCACGGTACCCGGCAGCCAGATGGAAAACAACAACAAATTATTCAAATAATCTTGGCCGCGCGCGGCAGTCACACAGAGGAGGAATAACAATTTGCAGTTCCATATCCTGCGCGGCGCGATCGTGGAAAATAAAGCGACGAAAGGTAAACGGTAGCGGAAGCGACTCGAGTGTTTTCAGTATCGTCACTCGGCCAGGATATTCCGTGGATCCCAGATGCGACAAACTTAGTTCGCTTTAATTCAATTTCAATCGATGCCGAGCCCGAAATTCAGGCAGGAAGCTCACGGCGGATCCCTCAGGACCCAAGAGAGGTGGGACCTAGAGAGGCTCTCTCGGAGAAAAGTTGGGGGGAGCGCACATCCTCTTGTCAGGTCTCGACTACGGTTTATCCGCCGTGACTGTTCGTAACACAGCGGGCGCATCGCGAGGATGAGGCAGGATTCCGGCCGGTCGGAACGTGGCCGGAAGGGCGACTGGCGAGAGGGCGAGGGGGGCGGTTTTCCCCGTCGGAGGGCTCCGTCGTGGATGCGCGCTGTACTATTGGAAAATTTAATATTGTTCAGCCGGGGAGACGAGAGCGCGGCGAATGTCGCGTAATAAATGTTACGGACACCAAAGACGAGTAGGAAGGTGGAAAAATATCGCTCATAAATTAAATCTTACGTATAGCGAAACTCGCTGCATGACAAACGCCGAGCAGTCTCGCCGCGCTCGCGGCGCGATGTTCGTATGAGACTGCGCCTGTTAATTATTCATCGCGCTGCAATCGTGTCATCCTGTAAATTATGTAACGGCAGAAATAAGCGCAGATGCAGCGCCTACTCGTCGGTGCGTGTATCCTGCTCTGCGCGCGCTCGCCCGAGAGAGAGAGAGAGAGAGAGAGAGAGAGAGAGAGAGAGAGAAAGGGGGAGGGAGAGAGAAAGGAATTTAATATTCATCGGCGCATAGCTTCCGTTCCTGTTCGTAACGCCCGGCACAAAGGATCGTCGATTCTGTTATCGCGGGCTCGCGTTGCTCAAATCAAATAACATAGGGCGGCGACCGTCGCGGCGGTCGGGTCGTTTTCAATTTCCTATCGGCCGCTCCATTATTAACGCGCAAGCTAAAACACGTATCAATGATGGACGCGCGCGAGCGGGCGGGCGCCGGCCGAAATTTCTTGAGCGCTTCCGTGTAATCCCGAATTTATGGGCGCGCCGCGATCAGAGCCGCGCGCGTGCGCGCGATGACCGGTATTTTAATATTTATTGGATCTCGGCAGGGCGCGCAAGGGTCAAAGGAGTACACCGAGGGGGATCCGTTACGGTTCGGGATATCGTTTCAATATCGAGGGCGTGCGCGAGGTGGAGGGCCGCGACAGGATACGTGAGATGCGAGGGGATTTTCCAGTGGCTTTTATGCCGTCGACTGTCGGTGTCGCGACACGCGGGCGCCGGCCGATTCCCGTAAACTCATCCCAGCCGTTTCGCATCGGGCATTGTGACGGATCGCCAGGCGGTTTAACGGTGCTTAACCCCGCGCGACGTTGCGCCCATGAAAATCGTACGTGTCGCGTCGTTGTCCGCCAGGATTTTTCTCTCCAGCCGATTCTCGCCCCCTTCCGCCCCCTATAGCCGGCAACAACATCTTTCCTCGCCCTCGCGAGGATCCCCTTGGTCCCCCCCTCCCCCGCGTATACGTTTTTATGGAAGATTTCTCTTTTTATGCGCGACGTCTCCTTCTCCTTGAGAGTGGCTGCGGAGGACGCGCGAGTTAAGGATCTGGGACAGAACACTTCGCTTCCCTGCCTCTTGTTTCCTGCGCATTGCTCGTTTCGACGTTTCTTCCAGCCCGCGCCTCTCGATGTCTCCGCGCCGTCTAAATCCGCATCCGCTTGTGACGAATGCGAGCACGGAGGTCGCTCGCTGCTCTCCACCGTGGAGATATGTTTTCGACGGAGATGTAGAGGCAAATGAAAAATGTCGAGCCGCCTCTTACGTGTTACCTGGCTTATGACGTTAAACATATTACAGCGCGCGCGCACGAATACATACATACATATACATGAATATGGAATGTCGCGGAATTTGACCGGATTTGATATTCGTCAGCGGATTTGATATTCGCTTTCCCGTCTCGCCGCGCGTCTTAGACTTCTCGTTAAGTGCCTGTTAATGCGATTCAATCTTTCATAGGACATTAGTCGAATTTCAATTGCGATTTCAGATGGGATAATGGTGACTCTTTCTTTACCCCAGGCTTTGCGTAATCTGCATATTTTATCCGTACTTTGGTTACTTGCTGAGAAATATTCAGAAATTATATCTTTGCGATCCACTTGTAAAAAGCGGATTCTCTCGCTCTCTCTCTCTCTCTCTCTCTCTCCCTCCCTCTCGTCTCTCTCTCTCTCTCTCTCTCTCTCTCTCTCTCTCTCTGCTACGGTCGAAGAATTCTCGAGAAGGACGTTATGCAGATATCTCCCCGTTAAATTCATGTGGAGACGTGTCGCCCGTACGTGCAATCTCCGCGGTAAAATAATTTTTTCGTCCACTCTCGTCCGCTGAATCGCGGCGCGAAAAATCCGCCGTATCGCTGCGACGGCGTCACTTCCAAACTTTCGTACGATAACTCACTCCGGAAATGTCGCGATACTCCGGCTGAAGGAAAAAAATCAACATCCACGAGATACACGCGCGGCTCTTTGTTCGCGTCAAGCTGCACGCCGTCGGCGCCGGCGTCGACGACGAGAAAAAGAAACAAAAAGGGAACAGCGTAGCGCACGGACGCACGTGTCGCGGTAACGAGCGCCGAGCGAAAGTTTAATAGCCCCTCTTAGACGACGATGCGGACGCAACGAGAATAATTGACGCAAAACCGCCGGGCAATCGTCTTCGCGGGCGACGTCCCGCTCTCATGATTTATGCCCCATCGTCGGGAAACTCGTCGGCCAACTTGCAATTTTACCGGCCATTAGCCGCGCGTGATACATCTTTCACGTTTTGCCGTTTTATCAGCGCGATATCAGGGCTTCGGCTGTCGCCGCTCGTGACGCGAGCGGATGACGCGAATAATTCCTCGCGATTTTTGACGACTTTATCTCCACCGCACTTCGTCCGCTTATCACTCGCGACGCTCGCACACACGATACGCACGATACGAATCGTGCGAGATATAAAAAGCACGTCCTTTCCCCCCGTATTGCTTTCGAGCCACAATGCGCTCGAAATTCGCGACGCGATCGCTGCGGAACGTTTGGAACACGAGGAGGAATGTCATGGAGATCTATCTGTTCGTCGCTTGAATCTACCTACTTTACAATCTACTAACCGTACAACTTGGAAAGAATTAAAATTAAATGCGTACTTTCTCGGATCGCTCGACAGGATAATGGATTGTATCAGATTCATGAGCTGAAGAGAGGAGGAGAGAGCACGTTTGCGTTCGAGACGATGTAACGCTCCATTGTGATCCTCGCTGTAACTTCAATCCTCCGCATCGATCGCGAGAGGGGGTTCCATTATGAATTTATCGTCGCGTTTCTCTGCACTGTGACTTTCGTAAATATTCGAGCACAGAGTCGAGATGGCTCATATGAGAGCGTTAGATGACGGCGATATCCTTTAACGGGGCGCTACTAATATTGAAAGCACGTACAGAAGAAGGGTCTGTAGCGATGACAGAAGCAACAACATTTTTTCTCTCTTGTTTCAGGAACCGTCCAATAGAAACTCAGCCAGACGTCCCAGAGGCAGCCGACTTCGGTGAGTCCGCCACAGTGAATTTCTTCTCTCTTCTTTTTCCGCGCTGTTTGACTAGTCTTGTGTGAGAGCGCGATTGCCCGAGCGCGGCAACCACGAAAGCGAACTTTTACTCTCCTGCGCGACCGCGGCACTAAGAAATTCCGCTCTTCCGCGCGTAGCTTCCTTTGCGCGCGCGCGCGCGATCTATTGTGCTCGTGTGTGTGACCGAAGAGAAAAATGTCGGGGAGATCACTTTCCTGTTGGATGGCGATAACCGCGCGAAAGTAATCGGCACAAAAGTTCGGACTTCTCTTTCGTCCGCGGCGGCGCGCGCCGGCGGCCGTCCCGAACTTCCGTCGCGGAACCGCCCGCGATCGGTGTCTCATCGGGATGCCGCGCTCGCGCGGAATCGATCCTTCGCCGTTGGCGCGCAGGCGGTCCTGATGGTTGACGCTAATTTGCACGTAAGGACGACGAGAGCCCCGAGCCGTGAAGCTTCGTAATTACGAGAGCGACGCGCTTCGCGCGACAATACGTCGCGCTCTAACAAGCCGAGTTGCAGCGATAACCGACTGCCGCCTGCGGCGCCAATTAATTTATTATAACAATTCCAGCCTTTCGGCTGCTAAACAATCGTCCGCCGGCGCGACGAATTACGTGACGCGTCGCGAAACTGGCAGCGTACGCGCGAGGCTGCTTCTCTCCGCGCGCACGCGCGTTGCGTATAATAATTCCGGAACGTCGTAATTAATCCGCTATTGACTAAGATGCGAAATTGCGCTATTATCAGGATCCCCTCGTAATCCTCTTTTACACGCCCCGCAGGCAATTGATGAGCTTTTTGGAAGAGCGACTTAACTTCCCCTCGCGTTTCCCGAATTAAGTTGTCGCTTTGGAGAACCTGTGAAATATCGCACAAAGGGTGATTCGCGGATATCTTTCGCGCGCGAATTTTGCGCCGAAGGTGCGGATTATATCGAGTCGCGAGGATGAAGGGAAAACGGGATTAATAATTTTGCAGTTAAAATTAAGCGACGACTGAGCTCGGAGAGGCTGCAAACAGACGGTAATATCTGATTCTTCTTTGTCTCATTCCCGACTGACTTCACTGACGCAATTTTTCAATTCGAGGGTCGATTGTCAGGATATCGAATTCTAGAAACTGGAAAACGGACGAGAGAGAGAGAGAGAGAGAGAGAGAGAGAGAGAGAGAGAGAGTACTCGCCCACTTCCTTTCTCGATATCTCCCTTGCCCTTTTGATGAGAAATTCATTTGGAGTTAATGAAAGAATTTATAAATAGAAAACGACTCGCGCTATAAGTCTCTGAAACATTTCATTCCCGCCGGTAGTCGCATAATACCCGACGATCGACCGGTACATGTACAACATGATCGTCCTTGGCGCGAGCGATCGTTCCTTCGAAATTTCCAGCGCGCGTTAAACCGGAAACTGCGAGAGCGGAGTACGCGGCCGCTCGGAGGAACATCGCGTCTAATGGCTCGTAAAATTGAATGTCGCGCACATCGGGCGGGAATAATAATTGATAATAACTACGGGAGTAACGAGGGGAAGAAAGGGAGAGAGAGAGAGAGAGAGAGAGAGGGGGGGGGTGTCGCCTCATATGCCGACTGCCAATCACGACATGTCCTTCGCCGTGGAGGCTCTCGTGTGACAGAATTGAAGACGCCAATATACGGCATCTCGCAGAACCGACGAGAACGAACCTCAGCGAATGAAGATAATTCTCCGTCGAGCGGATTAATTGATTCACCGTCATTGATTAGGTTCACAACACTTCGGTTGCGTTGTGGAACACTGCGGAAAACTGACGGGGCGAATCCGGCAATTTCGAATCATGAAATTACTTGGCGACGTAATTGTCATGTACGTAATTGTCATTTACATGAACCACAGCATCTCTCGCGAGAAGACAATCGTCTCGGAAAAAGCGCGACAAGCTCTCTCCAACAATGTTCTTTCAATTTTCGCGAATGAGAAGACAAAGATTCGCTCTCGTGACACGTCAATCGCCAGAGCCGCGCCGGCCGATAACCGTCTGCTTCTCGATTGGAGTCCTTTATCGAACTGCAACGCGCCGTAAAAAAGAGCATTGGGCATTCATCTGTCGCGAGTTAGCGCGAGTTTCCGGTCGACCACGACGCGTTTAACTGCGTCTGGAGGGCAACGGGCGTGAGAGAGAGAGAGAGAGAGAGAGAGAGAGAGAGAGAGAGAGAGAGAGAGAGTGCGCAACGGGCTGGTCGAATAGTAGAAGGGTTAAAAAGGCCGCGGGAGGCGGGGGGGGGGGTGAGAGATGTGTCGGTACACTGCTGCAAAAGCAACGACCGGGGCTGACCTGAATCTACGCGGGTGGCGCGCGCGATGAAAAGGGAACGACAAAAGCTGCGGTCTGCGGGACGAGGATGAGAGTGAAAATACCGAAAATAGGCCGAGACCATCCTACACATACATACGTACGCACGACGGTACGTGCTAAGGCCGCCGCCGTATAAAAGATCGCAGGATCGTGCGTAGGACCCGCGGTGGACACCGTAGAGCATTCGCAGCTGCGGTCCTCGCGCCATTTAATCCGTAATTACGTATTTACGTCGCGACGTAAACGCGCGCGCGCGTCGCGCCATCAAGCTATGAATCTGCTCGCGCCGCGCCGTGAAGATGCGAGTGTACTTTGGGAATTCGAATTCCCTCGTGGGGAAGCGAAAGAGAGAAAGCCATCCTCGATAATTCCGTCTGCGCGAGCAATCTCACGGCTGGCGGCTGCGAGCCGAAGCGAACGACAAGGCAAACACGCGAAGCACAAACCTCTCGCGCGCTCCCGTGGATCGAACGTGCAGGGCGCGGCGCGCAACGTTTGTTTTTAATTTAAGCACGGACAAGTCCCGAAGATAAAACGGAAAACGGGTTAAATCGCGTCCAATATTCATATCTCCGCGGCAGATGATTGTTAATGTTTAATGTCGTCCTGCACCTGCGCTCTTCTCCTCTGCAGCGCAGCGTCGTGAGTAACGAGGTCGAGCAGAAGACGAGAGAGAGAGAGAGAGAGAGAGAGAGAGAGAGAGAGAGAAAAGTGAAGGAGGAGGAGGAAGGATACGGAAGAATATCGGATTCGCTGGGAGTCGGATCGAGATCGACGTTGTCGAAATTAAAGGGCATAGCATGCCATAAGTTTGCTTGGGGCTTCTTCGCACATGGATGGATGGGGGTTGAGCTTGGAGGAGGAGGAGAAGGCACCTGAGCGTAAGTTTTTACGTCATTGCTGCGGCACGTCGGAACCTCGAGGACCCGAAGATACCCGCCGCGCGCGCTGCGGAGATTCCGGGGCTTCGGCTGCGGTAAATTAGTTCCGTTCGAATTTCGTGTCGTAATCCCTGAGCACGCGAGACGTCAGAAAGAACGACGCTCGTGTACGGCCTTCCTGCTCGCCCCCGCCTCCTCCGTCTCCTCCTGCTCATTCTGCCAGTCCTGCGGGGATTTTCATGAACGTGAGAGCTTTGCATGCCGGCGATCTCTCTCCCGCTATACGTGCTTCCGATTTTTAAGCAAAACATTGCGCACGCGGTCTGCATCGAACATCGGCGACATCATGGACGCGCGGCGGAAGCGTCATGCTTTTTGGGTCCTCCGGCGTCAGCGATGCTGAGGAAGCATCACGTAGTCGCGAGATCGAACCCATGAACACGTCTTGTAAAAGTGAAGTTTCCGAAAGTTTCTAATGGGAAAAAATGGGCGATGTGATTTACATAAAATTTCCGGTACGTTGGTCAAGTAACTCGTATACAGCATAAATAAATAAATATGTATGTATATGCACATTATACGAGATTACATCCTATTTGCGGGAGGAGAATGAATTATAAAAGCTCCTTCTCTCTCACGAGCCCCACGCGCGCGTAATTTTTCATTATCGCTGTTGCACCGCGTAATTGAGCTTTTTTTTATCGAGAATGGAGCGCGTAAAAGTTGGCAGCAAAAGTTCCCCTCATTCAGGTATGCTTACAAAAGAGGCCTACACCGACTGTTGCTACAATGGGCAGCGGTTCGAACAAGGAACTAATGAACTAGTTGTTGATCAACTTTTTTCACCTCCTTTTTTTCCCTTTTCTTTCGGAAGTGTACACACAGCTTCATTAATGCCCGAACATTTACCAGATCGGGAGTTATTAGACGTTCTTGCTCCGATTCATTATGTATTTTTGTTTCTGCATTCGTTGTCGACTGTCTGTCATCTGAGAAAGTGGCAAGGATATTCCAAAGTAGCCGTGAGAGCTTGACAGAGCCTTGAGATTTGGCTCGCGTAAAGTAACGTTTCCGGTGTTCGCAGAATCTTCTAGCATGAAAATTATATAGTTTATAAATTATCAACAATCATGACACATATGTATACACGTAAAAACAAATATATATTTAATGACTCCCGGTCTGGTAAGTGAGACTGATGAAGCCGTGTGCGCTTCCTCGTTTTCTCCCAACTTATCTAACTGTCACGATCCGATCAGTCAGTCGTGATCTCGGAAATCCTGACTAGGCCGTAAAAATATCCAGCGAATTGTACACACAGCAGCTGTACAGGCGTCGTACGTTTCACACTCGATCGTCCTGATTCCTCGAGTTCGGTATCGCCCGCGACGTTTCATTCGACGTTCCACATCGTAAAGACGGCCAGTTTCGTATCGCCTCGTTAAGCGCGCGCGAATTAAAGCGACGATCCGGCGCATGGCTGGCCGACTGTCTCTCCTACCTGGCGGAATTGAGCCGTTTAGGTCTACATTTCGTCGGGAATTTCCAGCGGCGAAGCCGCGTAATAGCTTTCCGTAGTTTGAACGCCTACAGAGGTAATTCGTTTCAGAGGGACGAGCGTGGAAGGATCGTGGCGGGCGGGCGAGGGGGAGGGGAGGGGGAGCTGGCAGTGAGGTTCGTTTAACCATTCGCTCCTGGATGAATTTTATTGAAACTTTATGGACGATTGAAAGAAGGGCGTGTTCCAGATATCGCGACGGGAGA